GCTGCAATTCACAAACCTAATAAGATGGCCTTGCATTTAATTGGTGGTCCAATTTTATACTTCACAGCCATACAAACTTCCAATCATGAAGAAAGTATGTAAGGAGTATACAGCAGATAGAACTACAATTATGAGGTGGCAGAAGGGATTTAAAAATGATGACTGGACCCTGAATGTCAACTCCGATCCAAACCTGGGAGGCCAAACACCTCACTTTGTCACAATGGAAGAAATTGCTAAGAGCGTATCAGGACTGGGTGAGAAGGCATCAAAAGATTTTGAGAAAATGTGAAATGGAACACTGTACAATATACATCCATAAAATCTAGGATGTGGTCCTAGTAATTACTAATGTACATGTAGAATCTTAACATATTTTTAGCATACCTCTTAGCTACACAAAATGGTATTTGTTTATTAGTTATTTCATATTTTCATAAAGTTTTTGCTTTATTCCTCTTGACGTGACAAAAATTGCCCCGCCCTACCCAAACTCACCAACTTGATTTTATTATAATATCAACATAATGTTATCAATCGGCATGAAACTTTACTTTTGCATTACTTTTGGGACAACCCTCGTAAATAAAGTTCATTAAAACTTACAAGTTATGATAACAAAAAATTGTTGAAGGTTCAATATGCTAAGTTTCCAATTTCAAATATAATATTTATTTTGGTTCAACATGGTACAGAAAGTCCATGTTGTTCAATTCAAAAACAAATATAATTGTAATAGACTAAGTGAAAAGGAATTTCCTTTCTAATATGTCAGCCAAGTTCATATGGACTTATGGATTATTACTTGAATGTACCATAGAATTCAATGTCAATGCCATTGACCAATAAATAAACAATCTAACACATTGTAAATAAATCATAAAACAAGATCTACAGATGTTCTTTACATTTGTTACATTCAGTTGTAGGCTATTATCATCGTTGAATCACCTGATGTTCCCGTTTGTTTATGGGGTGATGATGACGTTAAACAATCAATATCTCCAGACCACATTCATATGGTTATGAATCAAATCTTTACTTTTTACCAAATCCTTTATTATCAATTATCCTGAATTGAAATGTGGTATATCAACAACACGGATGGTAATTGGATTTGAAAGTTCTTTCATCATTTATTTGTAAGGTCTTTTCATGAAATGAATATGCTAATGAAATGAAACCTACTGTAAATCAACTTCTCCACTCATTCAATAATAAAAAAGTGAAAATCTAAATATCCTAATTTGGCTCTATGAGAGTCAACGAAGCATTGAATTCTTTTTTTTTTTCTTCTTAGTCGTAATCAATTTACTAACATCATCTCATTTGAGCATACATGTCAATCATATACTGTTTTTGTCATTTTAAACTGTGAAAAAAACAAAGATAATTTTTTTATTTTGTTGTAATTTAATTGATAAACTAAAGTGCACATGAAAAAAATGCTGCTGTTCAGTTTGAAAATATAATCAGTCATTCACACCTTCATCAAAATTAAAGATAAATAGAAAATAAAAAGAAAAGATAAATAAAAAGAATAGCTGATCTGAAAAATGTGAAAATTTGCTCAAATTAAATTGAAAACATCAAATTAACCCAAGTTTGGGCTAAAGTCAATATATAGATATGACATCCGGCCGGATGACGTCACAGCCATAAAATGGACAAGTGTGTCACCAAACCAGTCAAGTGACCCTCGGGTGAGTGACATTCTACATTTCCTCCAATATCTGATTAATTTTAGCCACTCGCCCCCCATTCCCCCCTCCCGCCATCAGAAATTCTATCAAAATCATGCAATTTTTCACTATTTTGAACACTTTTCGGATGATCTTTTGCCAAAAATGTCAAAAAGCTCCCCCTTGGCAAAAGCTGCCCCTTTGGTAAAACCGCTCCCCCCCCTAATGGCTATGGTTTCTAATAGTTATTTACATGAAAATTCAGCTATGAGTCAACTAGTACTGGCAACATTTTAAGGCTCAGCTGGAAAGTAACATTTTGGTAAAAAATTGCTATACATGTTATTTTCTGGTACAAAATTAAGTATGAAGGCATGTATTTCCTTGCTTTTTTCAGGAAAGTATCATTACACTGTCTACTTTTAGTAAACCTGAATTAACAGGTCAATGGTGATCCCGTGCCAGGACTATAGTCTATAGTCCCGGGGGGTTCACTGTATATAAAATTCGACGGGGGTCCTAGGCTGAAGCCTCAAATATCAATATGTTTCCATACCAATCTGTCAAATTTCAATATGTTCCCATACCAACCAAAATAACGCCCAAAGGCCATACCAAATGTCCAAATATAGGACCAATGCCATACCAAATGTCCAAATATAGGACCAATGCCATACCAAATGTCCAATTATGGGACCAATGCCATACCAAATGTCAAAATGTAAGACCAATGCCATACCAAATGTCCAAATATGGGACCAATGCCATACCTTAATTCAAAGTAAATGAAATATAGGATCAATGTCAAACAAATGTGCAAATACAGGACCAATCGCCATACCTCAAATCAAGGACAAATGCCATACTGTAGTTGGGGTCATAAATGACCAAAATAACACGAAAATCAGGGATAACGGAAAATAATCGAGGTCGAATGCCTTCAAAACTGTATTTTGGAATCACAGTATATCAGTCGATATAATGAACCGGCACTTAAAAATCGCTACCATAAGCTTCAAATCGTTGGAAATCAACCACTTTTCGAATCGAGCGACCATTTTTCTTGGCGGCAAGTTTTGTATTGAAATCACGAAAAATCTCGCGAGACTTCATCAAAGCCTATGATTGGTCCTCATTTCCCGGGAAAAGGGCTAAAATTCAAAAGTTGAAGAAGGCCCTGGAAAAGAAGATACTTCGGGAAATGATCCAAAACAACTTCAAATTTGCAACTACTGGACCAATGCCAAACCACTAATGTTAGGTAATATAACATATCTACAACTACCATTCTCATACCAGAAGAGCAAAAGACCGACCATTACCATACCTCAGAAGTCAGAAATTTCTGGGCATTCCCATACCAAATCCTAAAATATGGGTCCATTGCCATACCAAACGTTGAAAAAGGTACCCCACATGCGCCGAGGATCCCCGTCAAGGTTTATATATAGTGAACCCCCCGGGTCTATAGTCCTGGCACGGGATAAGTCAATGGTAGCTCCTGTGTTGTCTAGAAACTTTCGGAAAGAAAATTTGGAAAAATAGAAAATGTGAATCAGAATTTCCTGGAATTCCCATAAGTTACCAGATATTCCCCGGGAGATATTCTAACATGCCTGCCCTTCATACTTTAATATAGCAATTTTTACCCAAATGTTATTTTCCAGGTGTACCTTAAAACCCCAATTCCAATACACAATGGGATACACAAGTACAGGTAGCATTTCGCTCCGGACAGTCCGAAAAATGTTTACAAACCGCGAAAATTAAAAATGCAGAGCCAAGGCAACAGATGAGCATCGACATATCAATTCATGCTCGAATTTTTGCACTCGGTGATATGAAAATCATTCAAGATATCTAGGCTAACAAGAAAATGCAGCAAACTCCTCGAGTCGAGGTCTCCAAGTCAAAAAAATGCCTGACCCTCTCATATATCTGTTGATTATCCCTGTTTATAACTGATTCAAGAGCGTGGCACTGAACGAACCTATATGCCTATTTGTTATTTGTTTAGTTTTTGGTTGGGTAACATGTTAATGACGTCACAAATGATGCGAGGAATCTTTAAACCAATCAGTGAAGTCTATATTAATTGTTTGTTTAGTTGTTGATGTGGCAATACGTGTCTGACGTCACGGGTGATTACATCATATTCCAGTCACGCCATTTTACGACATTGTATAATTTTAGCTGATTTTGGCTTCATTTCACTTTATTTAAGAGACTTTTAAAAATATATCAATGAGTCAGTATTTTTTCTTATAAATATTATTATTTGAATTTGAGGTCAAAGTCTGAAAATTTGATCAACTGATTGAAATCACATTTTAAAGAGGTGAAGAAATGAATAATTACAGGAGCAAACGTGATCAATGCACTAGAGGCAATCTGCGCGAGATTCCATTTTTTGGTTCGGTTTTTAGCGCATGCGCATCAAATCCAGCAATGTAATTGGTTCAAATTTTTATCACGCATGCGCAATCGATAACTAATAAGAACATTTAATTTGAGATAGATGTCACTTACGTTCATTATTTCACAGCAGTCCCTACCCATGATGCACCATATAGAGCGGGAATATTTTTGTTAAGTGTCAAAACAAAAAGTATACACCCAAAACAAATGTAATGACATAATATCAATAGCCCCGGATTTGTAGACGTGTTTTGTACAAACTTAAACCGATCCGATGGCAGAAAAGCACTTTGAATCATGGGAATGAAGTACTTCCTTTAATGAAAAACCGAACCAAGTAAAAACCGAATCTCGCGCAGATTGCCCCGACTCGATCAATGGTTCGAGGTCTCCCGCAAAGTAGTCGCTACGCTCCTACTTCGCGCTGCCTTCGGCAGAGGAGACCTCGAAAAAAGGCATACTTACAAAATTCTTCTCATGAACCTCAAACGTCCGAACTGTTAGAATCGCCACTGAATTTGTAAAAAGATTTGTAAATGAAACATTCTGAAGTACGATCGTACGATGAGTTCTATGGGCTGATCAAACTCTCGCCACCCAATCAAATTGCTTGTGGTCGATGACGTCAGTCTAACACGTGGTTCTATGTTTACAAATGACCCAAGTGCAAGTTGAGTACTATTGCACTCATGTATGCGTTTCCATCTTGTTATATCAGAGTCAGATGTTGTCCTGGAATCGAGAATATACACGTCCAATGAAATTTACAAATGAAATTACAAAGTTACTCGACTGAGGAATTCATTCACTTGAGGTTGATCGAGAATCTTTACAGTCTACTGTAACAGAATCCTAATTGACAGGTCCCCTGTAAATATTGGGGGACTCATGACCTAAAAGCCATTTATTTTGAGACCATCAACATGTGCGATGTCTAACTTTCTAAAATTAAAAGTAAAGTAAGTAAAACTACTCTGTATGCATCAGTTAGTGTACTTTTAGGAAACCTGATTTTTAGGAAGCATTTTGAGTTTGATGGATCCAACTATTTTCGGAAAAGCGTACACTTCTCACAGATGGCAGAGTTTTTAGAGTCCATTTCACTTATCCCGTTCCCGGACTATGGTCCTGTGAACATCTCAATCTTTTGCCTGTGCGATTACAACATGGGAGAATTTTTTACTGATCTTAAACTTCAGATACCTACTTCAATAGATTCCTTGGTAATTTAGCATTCTTTTCGTGTAGTTGAATCCACAATTGTCTGGGTTTATCGGCAGAACGAAGACATTTTCGTTTTTGATCGCAATATTTGCGTGTAACATTTAACTTATTTCAACCGTCAAATTCCTCCATATTGGTACTTCCGGGCTACATCCGGGACAGCCAAACGGGGGATTCCCTTTTTAAATCCAACCGCCATTTTGAAAAGTGATGGAATCTCTCTCGATGAAAAAGAGAAAATGTTCCCGTTCTGCCGATATACCCAGACAATCGGCGGTTCCAATATATTAGAAGTTACATCTTGAGTTCTATAATGCATTGAGGTAGGTATCTTAAGTGTAAGGGGCGTAGATAATTCTCCCAAGTTGTAATCGTACAGGCAAATGAATGCGATCAGTGCAGGACTATAGTCCGGGAACGGGATAACATTTCACTGCTTCATTTCGTCAGCAGAACGGCAAAAATAAGAAATTGGGAGACCATTGTGCAATAATATATGGAAAAGTATATTCATAATGTACATGAATGAGATTTGTATATCTTGGATTGCTTCTAGTTTGGCTTATAAAGTGTGTGGCCTCTTATATTTGGATGTTTCTCTGCCATGTTATTTTCAATAAGATTAACATGGCTGAAATTCTTCAAATTACAAGACGGCACAGGCTTATTGCACAAAAAACTAAAAATTCTGAAATATACAAATGTCATTCATGTACATTATGAATATACTTTTCCATATATTATTGCACAATGGTCTCCCAATTTCTTATTTTTGCCGTTCTACTGACGAAATGAAGCAGTGAAATGGACTCTAGGTTTTGGCCACAGTCAGAGAGAATGTTTCTGGCGAAAGGAGATTCTGGGATTTCAAATACAATAAGTTGGGAATCCAGAATGAAAAAAATGAAGTTACCTTTTTTAATTCCCGAATCTCTCCGAAATTAACTCATCTTGGTTTACTCACTTCGAGAGCCATGTTAGATTTTGAAACTTATGGCTCTCAAACGGAGAAGTGAACAGCTGATCAATAGTGACCTTTGAAATTGAATTAAGTCGATCCGCGGCTTACTTTTGGTCTCTAACTGTGTCTTACATCAGTATCATCAATCCGTGTAAGTATTGGAGCGCTGGAGTACTTCTTTTTCGATCAAGACTTGTAAATTGTTCATCGAGTTAAAGTTTTACAGACCTATTTCCAATATGGCGGTTTGCTAGGTGCGAGATACGCAACGAACGAAATGAATTTTGAGAATTAGCTAGGTTCGGACAACCTCCGGAGATTTACGAAAATGTCCGAGCAGAAACCGCCATATTGGAATTTGGCAGTAAAACGATTTACTCGACTAACAATTACAAGTCTTGATCGAAAAAGAAGTACTCCAGCGCTCCAATACTTACACGGATTGATGATACTGATGTAAGACACAGTTAGAGACCAAAAGTAAGCCGCGGATCGACTTAATTCGATTTCAAAGGTCACGATCATTGAGCTGTCCAAATGCTCCGTTGGAAAGCTATTATATCAAAATCCAAATAGCTTTCGCAGGAAGTAAATCTTGGTGACTGTAAATTGCACAGCTGTATTCAATGGAGTCTTGTCATATTCAATCAGCCTCAATTTTAAAGTGTATATTTTATTTTTAACGTGATTTCATCGTTTTTTGTCGACTGGTAAGAATCTGCGGGGCAAATGGCAATATGGATGACTTTTGACCTGACCTTGACCGATGGCGGTGACGTCATCAATTTTATCTCGACGGTGATTGGTTAAATGATGATTGTTTGGGAAATTTGAATTTAGTTATCGTAACCTCCCGTGACCTCCCAAATAGGTCACGTGACCGTGTGCCAGAAGTCCGACTTTTTGGTCAGTCGACCTGTTCAAAGTACATTTAGTAATAATTATCGCTTTTCAGAACAATTTAGGAAACAATATTTTCTATCTACGTCGATTACAAAGCATCTAAGGTACGTAAATTTATATGAACAACTGAGTCAATAGGGATAAATAGCCCAACGAGAGTAGGCGGTCTTGAAAAATACTTGGATCTGGATGCCAGTCCTGTTATTGATATCATTCCAGTTCGAAGAACGTATTAGATGTCCGTGGTTCTGGCCCCGGGGTTCTGGCACAGGGAATCGCATGGAGCGTCTGGCCATAGGCGTAGCGCCCGGTACGCTGGGTATGCACAGGCGTACCAGATGGTTGCAAATTCGCTCTAAATACAACCAAATTTCCCATGCGGGCAGAGCTTACTCTACCAAGCTGACAGAAGTCAGCTCTGGGAAGTTGGATGTATGTGTACTTGAAGAGAATAAATCGAGCCGCCTTTATAATACGCTATATATTTGAATCAATACATAATTTATTTGTTGTTACCCTATTTTGTTCCTTCAACAGTCTGTTGTTGTAGTAAATCAATGTTCTATTAGACAACAAAACTTTTGAATTTAGATTCCAGCCATTTTAGGTCTCGCGAGATCTCGTGACTTTCGAAAGTAAAAAATTGCTACAAAATAACTTGCGTTAGCTAAATATGATATAGTCACATGATCTTTCAGCGGTTATACCCATGCGCATAAAAAGTACAATGCGCATGTACAGGTATGCGTAAAAAGTTAAAAAATGGTGCGCGCCAGATCTGGAATTTCTCCACTTTAACTGCAATTACACAACAAGTAGGACTTATTGTCACCACGCATCATGAAAAGGGCAAGTTACATTCAATTATCTTCTTAAATACCGGTTCTTATTCCAGTGCGCCTGCTGGAAGTTGAAGAAAACCGCTTCACAAGACGGTATATTTTAACGGTTTGTTCAGTAAGGCAGAGCCCTCGTGACAACCAGGGTTATGAATTCAATTTTTTGATTTTATCATTTTTTCCTAATTGCTTCAAACGTCAAAAGCCAGCCAAGTACAACATGAATATCACACCCATAGAACGGCATACTCCAAATAAGTAACACATACTTCTTATTCTCATTACATCATCAGACGGCTCATCATTCCAGCCTACCATTTTTCCTACTCCAGAGCATTTCTTTGTTTAGTTTCAGTAATGAAACGCTCCGTCATGCTTGTAAGAGCGTTTGGGTTAGACACCGTGTTGTTGTTTATTTGCTCTAATTTCTGATCTAGGGCCGGGGGAAGCCAAGTTTCTTTTCTCGCATGGGTCGAGATATCGCGGTACTAACTTTGACCATTAATTTGAATTTTTGATCTACCAGATGTTTGAAAATCAAGAATTGCGAGTCTCACACTGCACCATTTTTCTTCAAACTTGTTCCATTCAAAGGAAAACAAAATTTCCATTCTCTGTGTGCATTGCTTTATTGTAAAGTCAGTCCTTCGTTTTAGCAGCATTTCACTTTATATCAGTGTACATGCATCATCAATATCATATACATGTTTTATTTGTAGGTTTGCTGTGTCTAGCAAGTATGAAGCTTTCTACACAGGAGGCAAAGTTGAGGTAAGTTAGTTATTATTTTATAGAAGACAAAAACGCATTGGTCTTTTTGAATCAAAACAAACCATGCAACCATACTTACATGTGTAGTGCTTTGCATTGTCTATAGTAACCACAAATGAAATTGTAACCACATACAGTGAAACCTGTATATCTGAACATCTCTCTAATCCGAACACCTCTCAATGAGAACACTTTTCTTGGTCCCATATTTGTTATCTTCCATTGACTTACATGTTAATAAAACCTTGAAATGTGAACACCTGCTAATCCATACACTTTTGACCAGTCCCGAGGGTGTCCAGATTGGATAGGTTTTATTGTATTTCAAGGTATAACCTGAAATAATCTTGTTTCAGTTTTCCAAAGATGGCGAACATGTGTTTTGTTGTTGTGGTAACCAAGTGAAAATACTTGAAGTTAGTACGGGGAAAGTCTTCCAAACAATTGGACAGGTAGGTGCAAAACTAACAAGAGAATGGAATCCATTTTTATAGAATTTGATGACTTCAGATTTCATGCCTTCTTATAGTTTGAAAATTTGGTAAAACATTAGACGGCACATTAGAGGGTGTTGAATTATAATGTTGTTGTTTAAATTTTGTTAATAGTAACAAGAATAGGAAATGCCAGAATCTTTGAATCTGAATTTTTCAAATTGATTTATACTTGTTGCAGGATGATGATGAAGAAGTGACATGTTTCTCCGCTAGTCCCGATGGAGAGAATCTTGTCGTAGCACACCGCCATCTGGTGTTGAAACAGTGGGACTGGAAACAGAATGTTAGCGTCAAATCGTGGAAGGCTATTCATACAACACCTATATCCAGTATGGCATTTGATGATACAAGTACCTTACTAGCAACTGGGGGCTCTGACTCAAGTATTAAAATATTTGATATCATCAAACAATACTGTACTCACAATCTTCGAGGTCACACTGGAGTAGTCAAGTAAGTAAACCCAATTAATATTACGCTCCATCACAATTGCCCTTTTTGTTTCCCTACCTTAGTTACTGGTATTTGGCTCTTATTGGTTAGTTAGTTAGTCTCACACTGTAAACAATATACATTCTAAAATATCATACAATAATTAACAGTCCCGCCAGCTTCAACGTATGAGAGACTCATATTCACTGGGGAGTATCGTGATGCAACAACACCGTGTTGTTGCATCAAGATGGCCAGACTTCCGGTGATAGATTTTCGTACGATATTTTGTTTCCCCAATTAAACCCATTTCTAGGACGAGTTGCTCAATAACCATACACGTGCAGTTAGCGCACGATCTATATTTAAAGAAACTGTCATTAGTATACATGTACCATCAACAAGAAGCAATAACTTCACGGTTTTAGTTCCTCACTATTGATGCAACAACACCAAACCGAAGATGCAACAACACTCCTCTAGATTTGAGCAATGATGCAGCAACACCAATTAATAGTATAATTTCAGAAGACCATAAATCTCGAGAGGAACAGATTTTTAAATGCTACTATTGCAACACCGTTACCCATTACCCATATTTGCGTTCTTCTCAAGGCTTTCAAAATACAGGTCATGCGGGCGAAGATCCTTTATATGTTTTTTCAAAAATTTATACTTTTAAATATTATAATGTACTGGACGTTGTTCTATAACATAGTTCAATCGCCTTTAACATGGCAAGCTTTAGTAACCCAATCTATTTTCATAAACCACTGTTCCATAGCTTGATGACCCTGACTCCAGTTAGTATCATTCAAAATGGTGGACAAACATCTTTCGTTCTCGATAAACATGATGAGCTATTGGAAATTATCGGTCATCCATCTGTGGAACAGTGATAAATTAGTAGATGTACGTTACCACTGTTTATCAAATTATAACTAAAACAGTTTAACTGTGACATTCGTGAGCTTATGTTGATGGGATGATTGCTTCATCTATGATATAATATGATATGATTCTGTATTTCCTCCAATTTGGAGAGCCAACGTGTAAAAACGTCTAATTGACTTTATTAGAGAGGCCGTTTAGTTACACGTTTAATGGAAATCTTGCACGACGCACATGTAGAATTATTGATCTCTTTGGATTCCTTTTCTCCGACTGTGTAAAAAGGTAAACAAAAGTGATAAGATTAAGGGGCCAAAAAGGTAAATTGATAGGGGTACAGTTATTCCAGATATCCCGGGCCCTCGGGAAATATCATATTGTCTCTCGGAATAAAACCAAAATTGAATCCCTCTCAGTAAATAACCTTTATATAATAGCATTGTATAACTGCAATATCATTAAACCAACACTCATCCTATACAATTCTTGAGAACTATGTACAACTCCTGAATAGCGTAAACTCCTGAGCAGCGTATACAACTCTTCAACTTGATATATGACATCATACTTTGGGTGGGATATTATATCATAACAAAGGATATACAATATACAATTGTAGACCTCTCTTGAGGTCAACTGGCAAAATTGTATACCGATACTGTAATCCATGAAAGTTCGGAGGTCGAGGTCAACAGTACTCTCAGGGTTTACTGTTGAGGTATACACTTTTGCCAGTTGACCGAAAAGAGAGGTTAACAATTTTCTGTTAGTCCAAATAATATAATAATTGGACGAATATATTATCGAATATCACGTGAACATATTTGATAAGTGAAGGTTGTTACGCGGTATATGGCATACATTCATGGTTGCGCGGTATTTGTGATACGGGTGAGTATGACATACTCACCTGCGGTATATGGCATATTCCGCAGGTGAGTATGCGATATTCCGCAGTGAATATGCGATACATCGATTTCAGTGAATACCCGATACTCACCTACGGAATATGTCATACTCACTTGCGGAATATGCCATATACCGCAGGTGAATATGACATATACCGCAGGTGAAAAGGTGATACAGAAAGCCTTGATTTGATTGGTTGCGAGAATCGACTCTAAATGTAAAACTACGCTGGATTACCAATATAATTAGTGCGTCGAGTACTAATATATGAATCCTGGATTGATTGAGTAAGTTTATTACGCGAGATTGGTGACTAATACTTCTGCCAAGTTAATATATTCGATACACAGTACTGTTGATTCAGTAATCATTATAATAATTTATAACGATTTACTTGTTCGTTCAATCGATGCAATTGACAATTGCGTACTTCCGTATCACGTTCTCATTGGTTAGTGTGTATGCCATATACCGCAGGTGAATCTGTCATACACCGCAAGTGAATATACCATATTCGTTGCGGAATATGACATATTTTTGTATCGTGTTTACCGCGTAACAAAGGTATCATATTTTAGCAAAAAATCCCCAAACCGTCGAATACTTGTAATTTTTTACACAACTTATTTTTTCAAAATTAAAAAAATTTCAACATTAAAATACAATTTTTCAAAAGTAGGGGTGAACAGTACCTAGTAGTGGTCAACAGTTTACAATTGTTGACCTCCCCAGAGGTCAACCGGCAAAATTGTATACCGAGACTGTAAACCGAAAAGGTTTACAGTCGAGGTATATGATTTTGACAGTTGGTCGAATGGAGAGGTCTACAATTGTTTTGTTAGTCGGAGTAAACTAATAATACACATATAGACGACAATCATTAATCGGCATGGCTTCATTTAACAAACTTTTCTCCGAACCACGTTTGCAATATTTTTTTAGAAAATCTGGATACAGTGCAAGTAGCTTAACTCTGTATTTGGCACATCACGGCGTACTCGTTAGTGAATTAATGTTAATTTTAAGTTTCTACTTGTATTTTTGCTATACTTGTCGCCTAGTAAAGTCATTTTCATTAACGTTTACAAAATGTCCGTCTTACATGTTTTTTGTGACGTCATGAAACTTTTTTTCAGAAGTAGCGGTCAACAGTACCTAGTAGCGGTCAACAGTACATAATTTTGACCGCTAATCACCCAATCAGAATCGAGTATTTCAGTTGAGGTACTAACAATACATTTTGTTGACCGCTCATCAACCAATCAGAATTGAGTATTTCAATTGAGGTACTAACAACACAAAATGACTGATATCTGTTGTCTTTCCAAAATTATATTAGTTAGTAAGCAATTTCCATACGGTAAATCAAGGGCATTTAATTTAGAAAATGTATAATCTTTATTTTTCAGATACAATTTCAATGAGATTGCCTCCCGGGGATTCTGTACTTTATTTAGTTTGTCTTGTATATCCTTTTAACTTTGATATAGACAAAGAAACCAAACAAAATACGTTTCGTTCATGGACCACTGACTCACGCGTTTTATTCATGTCCCGACCTACACCTGTAAACAGAATATAAAACAGTTTCTCTTGTTGTTCAATGATACATTATATTGGCGTTTTTGCATCAGCACATTGGTGTTGTTGCATCATCGATAAGAAACAGAGTGGTGTTGTTGCATCAATAGTGAGGAATTAAAACCACGAATTTATCGCTTCTTGATGATGCTACATGTATACCAATGACAGTTTTTTAAAATATAGATCATGTGCTAACTGCATGTGTATGATTATTGAGCAGCTCGTCCTGGAAATGGGTGTAAATTGGGAAAACAAAACATCGTTCGAAAATCGATCACCGGAAGTCTGGCCATCTTGATGCAACAACACGGTGTTGTTGCATCACGATACCCCCCAGTGATATTGGAAAGAGTCATTGAAATCTTCATTTTGCATATAACAAAGATTGTACAATGATTTATCAAGGACTGCAGATTGTGGTATTGCAAAGTCTATAGCCATAATTTCCTCTGAATATATGAAGGATTCATTTAATCCTATTCCCCCCAAAAAAAATTATACTCATAAGTGACTTGTCATTTACACTTTCTTTGAGGGAACGAATTCAATTTCAAATAAAACAATTAAAGATTTATTTGTCTTACTTTATAATTGTAGCATTGTGGCATTCAAGCCTCGTGATCCAACAGTCCTAATTTCTGGAGCAGAGGATTACAAGATCCGTGTGTGGGACTTGATGACGAGTACCTGTCAGGCAGTGCTGGATAAACACTATAGTGTCATCACAAGCTTTAGCTTTACACCAGGCGGAGATACAATGCTCAGGTAATTGTTGCAGTAAGAATCTAAAGTAAAGTACAGTTCTCCACAGGATTTTTTCTCAAAATGGTCGGGTTGCAAAATTCTCATTTTCACAATCCAGACCAAAATTGGTCAAAAAATGCCACTTTTTCATGATTTATCATTTTCAAGTGGATGCAATTGGATTTTCAGGTGGGTGCAGGCCTGTTTTTTTTAAAACTCAGTTGGGTGCTGGCCCACTTGCTTTCAATATATCTGGGGAGATTACTAACCTTTGTCCCATCTAAAAGCCATTCCATTTGGGCAATGTTTATTGTTCCATTGACAGTTAATGGGTTTACAAAACTGATGTGATGCACCTCATGAGGTGTTATTGATATATTGAATCTCCAATTAATTATTTGGTATTAGGTAAAACTATTGTAGTATGGCCAAAAACTTGTGTCCCTCTCACTTGTTGGTATTTTGGTTATACGAGCAATTAAGATAGGAGAATTGAAGATCTATTACTGTTTTCCTCAAATGTTAAATGTTTCTATAAAGAAATTGAATATTTCAGCTCTGGCCGAGACAGTGTTGTGATAGTTTGGGATATGAAAACACAAGAACACAAGAAGACCATTCCAGTATTTGAGGTAATGTATACATGTACCAGATTCAATCTTGAATCATCTTGACTTTGTAATTTAAAAGTACAGGGTGTCCATAATGTCGCTTTACTTCAGTTCACTACTCTTTACACAGACTTTATGGGACACCCTGTACATCTTATGACAAGAGCTGAGAAAAATACAGCAAATTTTAATAAAACTGTTGCAAATGTAACACAAACTCCACTTTTTGTGTTTTATTCAATTGTATGAATTGTAATTTAAAATGTCATTTGAACTTTTCAGTCAGTGGAATCTATAAATGTGATCCCTAAAGGAACATGTTTCCCGTCACTCACGGCTGAGGAAGATCTGTGTTTCCTCACTGCAGGCAGTAAAGGTTTGTATTAGTTGTCTTTTTTTTCAAAATACATGTTGTCTGATGAATGTAACATATTGCCTTTGAAGCTGCAACTCACAAGGGTGTCAAACATTTTGTTTGGGATTGAATCAATTATTTTGTAAAGCAACCTTCAAGACATCTATATTTATCAAAACTAGGCAGATATAGTTTAGCATTTATATTTGCAATCTCACTATTATACTAATGTGAATTAATAAGAGCAGGTTTATGTATAATGTGGCTATTTTATTGCTATACCATACAAACAGCAAACACAAAAACATCACTCTCTGTGTTTCAGGAATTGTGCAATTATGGAGTGCTACATCAGGCAAGTGTCTTCTCAGCCAGGAGGACAGTATTGTAAGTCAGGCCACTGACCCAGAGAGGCAGGATGACCAAGACATGAGGATTACACATGCAATGAGGGTCCCTAGTTTAGATGCATTGGCTGTTGTCACCTTTGATCATAATATCATCCTTTATAACATAGAGGAGCTGACATTGAAGAAACAAGTAGGAGTTTTTATATTCTGTAAAATCTAAATACAATTTGCATATATGGATTCAGAGTTAATCGGAGCTTATCAGCTTGCTCCGTATTTAAAAAAGAATTTGATCCTGGACATATATTAGCTGAGTTAGCCTAATTCACTTAATAGTGTGGGAGCAAAAGTCCAAATAAGAGGTTCCGTGTCCTTTTTAGAGGCGAGCTAAGCGACATATGTTTTCATGAACTAGAAGTGATACTGATCAAGAAAAATGATGTTGGCAATTCTGAATCCGCGACGGCGTTGCTATGGTAACCAAGTAAATATGCCACGCCCACTTTTAGGGGCTCTTTTCAGTGTATAGCCCCTATCTCTGTCATTATTGCTCAGATTTAGATGAAATTCACACCAAATGAAAGATAATGGATAATGCAATTAGGAAATATTAAGTTGGCAATTCTGAATCCGATATGGCGTTGCTATGGTAGCAAAGTAAATATCCCACACCCACTTTTAGAGGCTCTTTTCAGTGTTTGGTCCCTATCTTCGTCAATATTGCTCAGATTTAGGTGACATTTGTACCAAATGAAAGGTCATGGAAAGAGCAATCAAACGGTTTATAAAATATGCAAATAAGGTGATTTGCATATTAATTATGACGTCATAATCGTTTGTTCTTGCATATTTTATTTTAATCATGATGTAAAATCTGGGAAATTATTGTCTTTAAAATGGTCAGTAATGCTTTTAAGTAGTTAATTAGTTCATTTCTTTTTGATTAGTTTATTAGTTTATTTCATTCATACATTTATGGTCATAAAAATTGAAAAAATGTAATGAAAATATCCAATTCAAGCTGTTGCTATGGTAACAGTATGTTGCAAAACTATCTGCTGTGAAAACAGTTCTTTGGGAAATGTTACATTTTGACTAGTTGACTGACATGTATTCCTTTTAAAATTTGATGGCTGGCAGAAAATAACCTAATAACGATAGAAAATTATCTAATTTGGATTGTGTATATTATGATGTCATAATGGCAATTATTAATCAGGGGCGCAACCAGCTTTCAATCAGGGGGGAGGGGGTGCGATATCGGCATAAGCAACTCAAAAAAAGTTTAATTTGACTTGAATTTTACAAAAATTCCTTCAAAGTTGAGCTAGAAGCTTCAAGTCAAAAGCATTTTTAAAGCTCTTCCGCCGAAAGAACAATGGAAATGACGTCTTGGATCTCCTGCTGTAATGGTTCTATTTTTATTGGTAAATGGGGGGGGGGGGGGGGGGTTGCCCCAATCACACCACCTGGCTATGCCTATGTTAGCTGTTGTATTCAGGTGAATATGCCATCCCCACTTTTCAGGTCTCTTCCAAAGTCTTGATTCTATCAGTTGTCATAATGATAGCTCTGGTTTATATTAAATTTTCATCAAATGGAAACTAAAGAATCAGATGATGCATGGGGAATGTAGATTGACAGACTGATATACCTGTTATGGTATGACTACCATAGCTGTTTTCGAAATTATTTTCTTGAAATAAGGTAAAATTGCTCAAGATGATTGCAAATTGGTATCTTGTCCTTTGACATTCACCATAAAAGTAGGTCAAAGCTGAAAACAATGATTGATTTACATTCTATTTCTTTACACGTATAAAGTATGATCAAGAAATATTATGGGCAATTCTGAATATGCGATGCCGTTGCTATGGTAACCAAGTAAATATGCCACGCCCGTTTTTAGGGGCTCTTTTCAGTGTTTGGCCCCCATCTCCACCATTATTGCTCAGATTTTGATGAAATTCAGACCAAATTGAAAGTAATAGATAATGCAATCAGGATATATTAAGTTGACAATTCTAAATCAGCGATGGCATTGCTATGGTAACAAAGTGAATATGCCCCACCCACTTTTAGGGGCTCGATTCAGTGTTTGGCCCTTATTTTCTTCATTATTGATCAGATTTAGATGAAATTTGCACCAAATCAAAGGTAATAGATAGAGCAATCAGACAGTTAGTAAACTATGCAATAGGATGATTTGCATATTGATTATGACGTCATAAATGTTTGTTCTTGCATATTTTATCTTAATCATTATGTATTTATCTGTGATATTATTGTCTTTAAAATAGTCAGTAAGGCTTTTAACTAATTAATTAGTTTATTTCTTTAAGTTGAGTTTATAATTTTATTTCATTTATACTTGCATAAAAACTGATGGAATCAAAAATGTAATAAAAGTGTCCAATTTATGCTGTTGCTATGGTTACAGCACGTAGCAGAACTATCTGATGTAAAAAGAATTCTTTGGGAAATTTTACATTTTGACTAGCTGACTGACACATGTATTCTATTTAAAATATGATGACAGAAAATAATCTTATAACTATAGAAAATTATTTAATTTGGATTGTGTTATGTTATGATGTCATAATGGCAATTATTAATCAGGGGTGCAGCCAGCGTTCAGTCAGGAGAGGGGGATTGCGATTGTGGCATAAGCAACCCAAAAGTGTTTTTAAGATTTGTTTTGAATTTTACAAAATTGATGCACCTTCTTTCAAAACTGAGCTCGAAGCTTCAGGTCAAAATGATTTTAAAGCTCTTACTGGTTCTATTTTTTTGTTTATGGGGGCGCACCCATCGCACCCCCTGGCAATGCCTATGTTAATCCAATATGATGTTGCCATGGTAACTAGGTGAATATGCCATCCACACTGTTCAGGGCTTTTTCAAAGTTTCGCTTCAATCTTTGTCATGATTACAGCTTGAGTGTGTATGAAATATTCACCAAATTGAAGCTGAAGAATCAGATAATGCATGGATTATGTATATTGACTGACTGGCATACCCATCGTTTCATTAATAGCTGCTAATGGTTTTGAAATTCGAAAAATATGTTCAACGTCAATTTACATAAAAAATAATATGATTTTATGGTATAGGTCAATACTTTAGCCTATTTCATCTTTTTAGGTCATGTAGACATAACTGTACCAATTTTGAACCCAATGATTGGATGTCAGATTTCAATACCAAAAGCATATCTTAAATCAGGGGCTTCCATACTCCATACTTGTAAAGAAATGGAATCAATCATAGTTTTCAGCTTTGACCTCATTTTATGGTGAATGTCAAAGGACAATTTGGAATCATTTTTGAGCAATTTTACCTTATTTCAAGAGATAATCACAAAAAGCAGCTATGATACCATAACAGGTACTGTACTCCTGGTATTTTCGTTGCGATTTAGTTTCGTGCTTGATAAAAAAGCGAAAACTAATCTTTGCGAAATTGTCAATTAAATCCCGGGGATTTCTGAAATTTAGTATTACAATTTGTGTTTTGTAAAATGTTTGTCAATTGTTTTAGGCGATTAATGGGATAGTTAGTACCAATGTCTGTTACAGAGGAATCATTTTGAGCAACTTTACCTTATTTCAAGAAAATAATCACAAAAATCAGCTCTGATACCATGACAGGTACTTAGTTTGTCAGTCAGCCAATCTACATTATTCATGTATTGTCTAATTCACCTAGCTTATTCACCTAATGGTTACCATAGCAACATCAAGTTGGATTAACATAGGCAGTGCTTGGGGGGGGGGTGCGGTGGGTTCACCTACCCCCTCATATCCGATAAAAATAGAACCATTAGATAAAAGAAGGCTTTCGACTTGAAGCTTTTTGCTAAATTTTGAAGGAAGTTGGATCAATTTTGCAAAATTCAAAAGCTATCTTATAAATACTTTTTGGTTGCCCGTCTCACGATCGCAGGCCCCCTTCTGACTGAAAGCTGGCTGCGCCCCTAGCCATTATGACATCATAACATAACACAATCCAAATTTAATAACTATGGTTATTAGATTATATTCTGTCATCAAATTTTAAAAAGAATACATGTCAGTCAACTGGTCAAAATGTAACATTTCCTAAAGAATTCTTGTTTACAGCAGGTGCTTTTGTTGCATGCTGTCACCAAAGCAACAGTGTGAATTGGACACTTCCATTATATTTATTCAACTTTTATGATCATACATGTGTGAATGGAATAAACTAATAAACTCAACTAAAAGAAACAAACAAGACTAGTTCAAAACATTATACGGACCATTTTAAAGACAATAATTTACCAGATCTATACATCATGATTAAAACAAAATATGCAAGAACAAACAGTTATGACGTCATAATTGATATGCAAATCACCATATTTGCATATATTAAAAAGTGTTCGATTGCTCTATCTATTACCTTTCATTTGGTGCAAATTTCATCTTAATCTGAGCAATAATGACTAAGTTATGGGCCAAACACTGAAAATATCTCCTAAAAGTGGGCGTGGCATATTTACTTTGTTACCATAGCAACGTCATATCGGATCCAGAATTGCCAACTTAATATTTCCTGATTGAATTATCCATTAGCTTCCATTTGGTGTGAATTTCATCTATGGGCCAAACACTGAAAAGAGCCCCTAAAAGTGGGCGTGGCATATTTACTTGGTTACCATAGCAACGCCGTCGCGGATTCAGAATTGCCAACATCATTTTTCTTGGTATGTATCACGTATAGTTCATGAAAATATATGTCGCTTAGCTCGCCTCTAAAAAGGACACGGAATGACCTTTGCTCCCATACTATAATGAGTGGCTTTGTTTTTGTTTATGCTATGGTTTGGGTGGACATTTGAATATACTATCTGAATTGATACATCATTTCATAATTTTCATGAAGAGTAGTATAAAACTAATATTTTTGACTGTCAGACAATGCTTATGTGCAGTGATAAAATTCTCTTGCATGTATATTTATTACTTTTGCTTCAGTTTGTTGGCTACAATGATGAAGTCCTTGATGTCAAGTTCCTAGGTGAACAGGAGAGCCATCTAGTGGTGGCCACAAACAGTCCTCTGATAAAGATATTCAACCGTGAGACATGGGGCTGTCAGATTATTCAGGGGCACACAGATATAGTGCTTTCTATTGATGTATTCAAGAAAGGCAACTTCTTTGCTAGCTGTTCTAAAGTAAGTTTGAAATTGACCAATGACTTACACCAGCATTTTTATACAACTTTGTGCATACTCTTCAATGTCATTTAACACGTTGCGTCATCTTAGTATTTTCGATAGTATTCAGTTTTTCATGATTTTGCTATAACTGGAAAAGTAGCACAGTAAGATGAAGTATTGCTTCTGCATACAGTGGCACATAAACTCCAGGCTTTTGTTGTTATTAGCTGCTAAATTCTCATCAGCGCACTTCCCATCTTCATTGCTTGTTTCACCCCATTAAGGCGCGTACAAACTCTGATGGGTGGGGAAGCAGGGTGATCAAATCCCACTCACTTATGAAGCCAGTTTTCTCTACAACGCAGCCATAGCCATCTGGATGACTGCTCTGCCATTTGGCTTGTCTCTAAGAGGGCCTTCTTTCTTTTCCTAGGTGGGATGCCAATAGATTTGAACATCCAACTCGAGGATTTTGCTGCAAGTCCTCTCGACTGTTAAATATCTTTTGGTAATACATCTATGGTTGCCATTTTCTAGCAATGTCTGATACTGATTAGATTTTCGACGGGATTTTCTCTACCTTGGTCTTGCTGTTATCTAGTTATTTTATTTTATATTAAGGACAATACAATCAGACTGTGGAAGTTCTCCAGTGAGACAGAGTCAGTGAGTTGTGTTGCTGTTGGAAGAGGTCATACACATGCTGTGGGGTCTGTTGCACTTCCTAAGTAAGTTAATCAGTTGTAAAAACAGTCATCAGGTTATCACAGTGTCAAGTGGTGAGTCTACCTCTTTTGGGAAGTAAAGGGGTACACTGGGACTATTTCCAAATACAAAACTGCATAGAATCCCTATTCAAAGCCATAGAGCTTACAGTTTACACTTGCATTTCCAAGGTAAAGTTTTCATATTTTCCACCTATGTTTCTTTGAGGTTTTCCATGTATTTCTAAAATCTAGAAGGAATGTTAGGCCATTAATATAACAGTTAATAAGTGGCAGCATATCGAATTATTTAAATTACATGAAACATTGCAATGTTATGTATGCAGAAACTAACCAGCCACACTTTTTAGATCCCAGATTTTTAGCCTTATTTTGACTACACTTTTCGCGGTATCGCTACTACTTCTCCTCCATGTGGGATTAGAGATATCCTATTAGTATACTTTTCAACATACTTCTTAAGATTATCTTGCTATTTTAATCCCAATATTTATTTCTAAAAGGTTTCTGACTTCCTATTCCTTGTTTGTATCCAGTTTTACTGCAAATAATGTGACAAAAATGTAAAATTAGACTCCAGAAAAATACTCTAGACTCCGGAAAAGCTATTAGATTCTGGAGTAAAAGGGCTTTAAGACATTAGACTCCAGAGAATCTCCGGAGTCTAAATGCTCAGTGAGAAGCCTGCACTACATGAATTGTAAATTCAACAGCATTGTTTATTTTCTAGGTTGAACCTTCAGTACATAGTCAGTGGCAGTGAGGACTGCACTTTGAAGCTATGGCCAGTTTCTAGTGACCTATCTGAGGATGAAATCACTGCATTGAGCACCACAGTAACTGAGAAGGCTCATGAGAAAGACATCAACTCTATTGCGGTAGCCCCCAATGATAAGATCATTGCAACTGGTTCACAAGATAAAACTGCTAAGGTAAGATTTAAGATTGAGCACAACATTTTATTTTGGGATTATTTATATTTCATCTAAAATCAATTTTAAGTTCCTGTATTGCTTTGATAGAAGAACAGAATTTGGTAAGGATTGAATTCGAGAAGTGATTTCCGAGACACCTTTTGTAAAATAGGTCCGAACAAAGCCAACACCACTTTAAAGCCACCAGTCAGACTCCTTTTACGCAATCATATCATTCAATTTATGCTTTTCTTCATTTTTTACTGTTAAAGTTAATGTTTGCATTCAAAATTAACGTTTCCTGTGAATCTATGAATTCATGAACAAAGGTAGATATTGAATTTTTTTCTGTATAAATCATTGATTCATTCCAGTTGTGGAATGCTGCAAACCTTTCTCTGCTAGGAGTGTTACGGGGGCATCGTCGAGGTATATGGTGTGTGCAGTTCTCTCCCGTAGATCAGGTAAACCTCCATTCTAATACTAACCTGTACCTGTATTGAATCATGTACTACTACTGGTAACTTAAAACTAATAAGTAATATCCTTATGCTGTCCCCTCTCATTCGTCATTCTATTTTCACTGAAAAAATTGTAATTGTAATGTTTTTTGTTAATGAATGTCTACAATTCAATTCGAACTTTTTTCAGTTGTGATCAGAGACTGAAACAAGAAATGGGCAATTTTAGATAAAGTTCTTGACCAGGAATAACACATTTCTCAAACATAGATTTTTTGAATTAAACCATACAATCAAAATGTAGGTAGATGAGACTGTATCTCATTTTAAAATTGTTATTCTTTCAGTGTGTGGCTACATCCTCAGCAGATGGTAACATAAAGATCTGGGCTCTATCGGACTATACCTGTGTAAAAACATTCGAGGGCCACGATGCTTCCATTCTTAAGGTCACTTTCATCACTCGAGGGATGCAACTTCTTTCAAGGTAGGACATAAATATAGTTTTTGTTAAAGGGGTGAAGTATTTTTTTCTGTGTCTCAAGTTCTAGAAGACAGCAGATGTGAAATAATTCTTGATTATTTCTGGATAAACAATCAACCCTATAGTGCAGGCTACCTATGAGCCAAATATCAACTTGACCCCCGCACCCAGTATAACAAGTCGTCATGGGTATCAAATTGTTCGTCTTGTTGAGTACATTACAAAAACCAATTTTGACAGATTGAAATATGGGTCAAATTCGATAAATATGACATAATGTTATGTAATCTATTATTATGACATTTGATTTTTTTAAAGCATTTTTAATAGTCGGGTTTGAATAGGAGATAAGTTCACAGAATATTTCAAAAATATATAGAAGCAATCTTAAAGTGGATTTCAAAACTTCATACCATCCTTTTGAGAACCTGAAGTGGCACCAAGCGATCCATTGACTTTTTCACCAAAAATCCAAGATGGCCGCCACAGTGTATCGAAAAATCATAAAAATTGACTAAAGTTGTAATTTAATAAGTCAAAATAGTTGTATACTGATCAAACATGACTAATAATAGTACCTATAAGTTGTTCATATGCATTTAAATTCATTGGATCATTTTTGTATGAAAACTGGAGTCCCACAAGGCTCAATTTTATGTCCGCTACTTTTTTTGTCTAATGACTTGCATTGACCATGACATTTGCACATAGCAGTAGATACTTATCCATTTTTGAAATGTGTGCACCCAGGACCACATTTCACCTTGCACCCATACTTTACCAATGCTTAGCATGCCTTGGCTGCTTGAGTAAGGGATGTCAACAGTGGCACCAGTAGAGACATGTCATACTTCAAGCCCCATGTTGTGAACTCCTATACCAATTTTAGATGGAGATTGTACAGTTGCCCTCAAACAATACCACCTTGGTTAGCAAATTCTTAAGATTTTCTGAGCAAGGCCTCCTTTTGTTGGTGGTATTCTTTGCTATGGCCAAACAATGGTGAAGCTAATATAATATAATTTAATACCTGTAATTTTTGAGAGGTCTGAAGACAATCCAGATTGACACTTATTGCGCCCTTAAATGCTGAAGCCATGGTAAGAGCAACTACATCAGTATCTCAACTTCTGATTGTGAAGTCTTTTACCCTCTGAGGTCATGTTTTATATGAACAAAGAGTCTCCTGTCAGTTTCTTCATGAGTACAAGGTCCAATCATTGCTGTATCTGGCAATTGAGGAAAGCACTGAATAGATTCTCCCATAGAAGTTATCATTTGCTTGTCATTAACATCAAACTCAGACATAGAGTTGGCCAGGAATGCAAACAGCCTAGTCTTGTTCCGTTGATTGTTAGAAAAGCTGGGCAATTCTTAGGCATCGCATTCTCTGCATAAACTATCCTTCTAGCACCAGTGCCATGATGAATCCTTGTTAGGGACTTCTCACTGTTTTGTAGGTAAACATTCCAGACAACATCTAGGAACACCTTCCATAAGCTACCTTAACTTGGGATGAAAGGACCAGTTTCTAGACATTTAAGTATGTCTGTCGTAGGTCACATGGCTCTGTGCTTAGCTAGGGATGACGGGATGCCAATCAAGACACATTGACATGTCTGAGTTTTTCAAACATGAAAAACATGAGTTCAGGCCATCCCTAGCTAAGCATGGAGCCATGAGACCTACGACAGAAGCAGACTTACTTAAATGTTGAAAAGCTAAGCCAGATGGATCTGAAGTATTGGAAAAAACCTGCAGATGCAATTTTAATAGTTGGCACCCTTCTGGTCTATGTGATGCGTCCTGGTGTGGCTACCAACTTCCAAGAATATGCTACCAATGTCTCATCCCAAGTTAAGGCAGCTTATGGAAGGTGTTTCAAGATTAGATGCTATCTGGGATGTCTACCAACAAAACAGTGGGAAGTCCCTGACAAGGATTCATCGTGGCACTGGATGGTTTATGCAGAGAATCCGATGCCCAAGAATTGGCTAGGCTTTCTAAGAAATGGCCAGAACAAGACTGAGCTGTTAGCATTCCTGGCCAACTCTATTTTTGAGGTTGATGTAAATGACAAGCAAATAATAACTACTATTGTGGAATCTGTTCAGTGATTTCCTCACTTGCCAGATACAGCAATGATTGAACCTTGTACTCATGAAGAAGTTGACACTAGACTCTTTGTTCATGTAAAACAGATGACCTCAGAGGGAAAAAAGACTTCATAATCAGAAGTGGAGATACTGATGTAGTTGTTCTTGCCATGGCTGCAGCATTAGTCCGACCGCTATGGCTCAGTGGCAGAGTCAAGGTTACCGATATCGCTTGGCCCCGGGTTCGATTCCCGGTTCAGACAAGTTTGTTTGTGCGTCATGTAATTCTGGGTGTTTGACTGAGTGGTTCACGACCCGTATAAAAGGCTGTGGTGTGTACCTGTATGTCTGTGTACCTGTGCACACAAAAGAACACAGGGCTCCTCCAAGGAGGGGTTTCTGGCTCTGTCTTCGAGTGTAAAATATGTAAAGTACAGAATATACCAATGAGCTATTGCTCGCCAAATATGGCGGTAACCAAGATATAATAATAATAATTAAGGCCAAATAAGTGCCAATCTGGATTGCCTTCGAACCTCTCAAAAATTACAGATATTGAACCCTGTACATCTTTCACAAGTGATATTTCACGAAGCCCGAAGGGCAAGTGGAATATCACCTTGTGAAAGTGCTACAGGTATTCACCGAAAATAGAGTGAAATATTTGTTTTATTATATCACTGTCTAGCTAAACATCCCTAATATTATTAAGTCATAGGTTAACATTGAAATACATACGAATCTACTCGGTTCGTCTGCCATTTTGACTTACACTGAACTAGATTATTTACACTGAACGAAAATAAATTCTTTGAAAATTCCCGGGAGCGTGGGAGATCGCTAGATATCTCACAGTTGTCTTATCTGATAAGCATTGCCATTGAATATCGCCAGATATCCCACGACATGTGACCCGGTTTTGACCAATCATACTGTCGCTAGCTAGATAGCGATATAATAATAAATTATATTAACTGCATCATTCTTTGGCCATAGCAAAGGATCTGCCTTCAAGCTATGGAATGTGTTCAAGGAAGTTACTCCAGCTTTTCTACAAAAGAGTGGCACAAATGCTTACAACAAACCTGGTTTTGTAAATTCAGACCATTCAGTCCCTAGACTGTTTTACTGTTCTATTATATGACCGAACCAGCAACCAGATAGATATCAATGCAGCACGAAGACTAATGTTCTGTGGCGGCCATACAGTCATTGACAGAATACAACCAACAAAAGGAGGCCTTGCTCAGAAAATCTTAAGAACTTGCTAACCAAGGTGGTATTGTTTGGGGGCAACTGTACAATCTCCATCTAAAATTGGTATAGGAGTTCACAACATGGGGCTGGAAGTATGACATGTCTCTACTGGTCCCACTATTGACATCCCTTCCTCAAGCAGCCAAGGCATGCCAAGCATTGGTCAAGTATGGGTGCACGGTGAAATGTGGTCCTGGGTGCTTACATTTCAAAAATGGATAAGTATCCACTGCTATGTGCAAATGCCATGGTCAATGCAAGTCATTAGACAAAAAAAGTAGCGGACATAAAATTGAGCCTTGTGGGACTCCAGTTTTCATACAAAAATGATCCAGTGACTTTAACTGCATATGAACATCTAATAGGTACTATTATTAGTCATGTTTGATCAGTATACAACTATTTTGACTTATTAAATTACAACTTTAGTCAATTTTTATGATTTTTCGATACATCGTGGCGGCCATCTTGGATTTTTGGTGAAAAGGTCAATGGATCGCTTGGTGCCACTTCAGGTTTTCAAAAGAATGGTATGAAGTTTTGAAATCCACCTTAAAATTGCTTCTATATATTTTTGAAATATTTTCACCTAAATATTCCTGACTATAAAGGAAATAATGAAAAGAAATCTTGAGCTAAGCAAATATTAATTGTGTATATACTTTAAAATAAATTTTGATAATTATCAAAAATATTTTGGACTTAGAATTATGTAATTATTACATAATTTCCATTGTTTTATGAGCTAGAGCTTACAATTTGAATTGTTTTCGTTGTTAAGATAACATAATTTTTGTTCTAAATGATATAAACCTCATGTGCTAAACTAATTCAAGCAATAATATCTTATTATGAGTACAAACCTTTATAAAAAAGACTTCATCTCATTGCAAACAATAAATGTCATGCATATGTAGCAGCAAATAACAGTACGTGAACGGTGTATTAAGACACAATGATAATATCATTAAACATTTAATCATATATACTTATCCAAATATTCATGCATATAAATATCAGGTAACTGTTATGATCATTTTAAACATGATAAATATCAATTTGTTACATATAAGGGCTTACATCTTTCAATAGAATCATTATATAATATGATGATATGATTATTTCAAACATCTTTATTCTAAACATATGGATATGTTTTTTCCTCAACCATCATTGTGTTTTGGCAAATACCCACCTAACAGGAACAGATAGACATGCACAATAATCCTGCAAGTACATGTAGGCATCTACAAGCCTAATTAGTACGAAATCCATCTTTACAATAGATTTGGGTAATATCCTTTAATTCAATGGGGGCAGATGCTCTCAAAATCATCTTAGGAACCAGTTTTCCATCAATAAAGTACCATACATTGCCTTCTGGTTTCCTAAGTATGGGCTTTGCTATGCGAGCACTTTGTCCAGATTTGACATTGGAGATGTGCTGGAAGAAGATGTTGTTTAAAGCATCTTTTGTTAGTAACCTTGCAGATGTAGGCTTGTCAGTTGTCGATGCCAAAATAAAGCTTAGGTCATCCAATGTCATTGTCTTCTTGTCATCTACACGGCTCTCACATTGTAGATGCTCATCTGATCCAAGCTTGCATAAATTGCTAACCCTACTATCACACCAAACTAGTTCTCACTACGTTCTCGAAAACGGGCTTCAACTGTGTACGAACGGACTGGTCGTACTAAGAACCGTTTGGGATCTATTTACAAACTTCATCGAACGTACTCGAACGGGTAGGTCCTCTAGAACTAAGACAATGCTCAAAATGTTCTCGTGGTCGTCACGTTCTACAATTAGAACGAGTGACAACGTACTAACGACGAGCTGGACGTACTACGAACGGAACCGTCGTACTTCAATCCTACTAGGGACGTTTTAACAACAAGTTGAAGTGTCTGAAGACGTGTTGAGAACGAGGTAGAACTCATTGCAAACGGGTTTAAACTGATTATGAACGTATTTAACACTGCTTATGAACGAGTTAGCAAAAATATAGCTATCACACCAAACAAGTTGCCACTGCGTTCTTCAAAACTGGTTTTAAACTGTGTGCGAACGGAATGAACGTACCTGTAACTTTCTAAGGTCTATTTATGAACTTTATGAACGTTCTCAGACGGGAATGTGATTTTAGAATTTTGAATCGATTCAAAATTCGATTGCGACCATACCGTTCTGTTATCAGGTAATGATGACCTTCTAGACTAAGAGACGCGTTCTACGGCGTTGCACACCGACGTGGTGCGACCTGAACGAGCTGCGAACGAGATGGACGTATTGAAGAATGTTTAAGAACGAAGAAGCTAATTATTTCAGACATATTTCCCGACCACAGCCAGATTGAGCCCGTTTTACGACCTTTTCGTAGGACTGGCAAGAACGGGTAAGAACGAGTTTGGTGTGATAGGGGGGTGAGGTGATCAATGTTCTTGATTAATTTTGTGTAATATTTTTCCCAATTTTAGCAAATGAACAGGTAGTGTCACATCCTATAAGGGTGTGAGCTGCTGATAATGATTTGCAAAACTTTTCACCAAGTTTTCTCATATTCTGTGAATTGGGTTGAAGCACTGCTTTGACCCATGGCCGCTGTGCATGAATATCTCATGTGACGATGTAAAGAACTGTGTGGTAGTAGTACAAAAACATGACCAACACATCAGCATCACTGCATCGAACTATTTCTCTTATTCTTACTTAGCTGTCTTTGACCTTTGTACTGCATGGTAAATCATTAGAGTATCTGCCTCATCAAGACATGCTTCCATGTATACTCTGCACTGTAAGAGCCAGTTGTTGTTACGGTCATTAGTCTTCTGCCTTTGTTGAAAACTTCCAGCTAAGATGATTGATTCATCACTTTTTATTTTTTGTCGCATTTTGCACACCCGTCTTGCACATTTTGTTAGAAATTAGCAAGATTTGTCTTATTTAACAATTCCTAAGAAACCATCTATAATTTGGGCCTACAAGACTACATATCTTCATCCTTTTCGACTCGCTTTGGTTGGCATTCTTCATGAGGTTTTTGTGTAGAATGTACAGATTTCTAACAGATTCCGCATAGTCCCTGGCGATGTGACAATGTGACTTTACCACCTCTCTGATAGACCTGGTTTTCTTACAGATTTTAACAAAAATCTTCCGCAGCCAGAAACATGCTTCACTTACCATCTCGATTCACTATACAGTTTAACAATCCTGGAAATAAGGCTATTCTTGCTGTCAAGTGCATATTTCCAACTCATTGTCATATTCCATACACGAGATGGTTGAATAGAATCTTTTGTGCTTTGTTGTACAGGGTGGTCAAAAAATGGAAACCCTGCATTTCCTCATATCTTTGTCATTTTAAAATATTACTCTCTCATATTTCACACATTTGTACATCATTCACTATCATACAACAGCACTTTAAGGATGCAGTACCAGGTCAGCGTAGAAAAAGTTCCTGACATTAGATTTTGCTCATATTTTTTACAATGTATCACTGTGATGTTATCATCATCCAAGTGCAATATGAAGAGGATTGACCATCTGGTAATTACAAAATAAAAAAAATATTTTACCCACCCAAAACGAATCTTTTTACTTTTTTGAGTTTTCAATAGAGCTGGCACCTTTCGAACCCTGGTTTTCGTATCCACTAATTGCGACTCAAGAACAAGTTTTCCCATAAAAGTGAAAGGGATAAAATATGCTTGATAAAATGTTTGCAATTTAATTCTTTTCTGGAAACACCATTATCGAAATAAACTATAATTTTTGAATAAGACTAAATGCGAAAATGACGTTCTTGGGAGCTAGCTTTCTCAAACCGGAAGTCAAACCTGCGCAAACAGACGTGAAAACCGACCCGATACTGCATCCTTAAACAACATGCTTCAGGTTTGGGCATTATCACACTGTAGTCAAACCTGCACAGTTGTCAATGATCCGAATGCATTTTTCAGCAGATATGGCCTGAATGACACTAATGATCTCACTTTAAAGGTCTGCAATTGTCCTGAGGTCATTCTCATACACTCTATCTTTGCCGTTTCCCCATAAGTAGGGACATTTTGGACTACATGTACATGTGCAGGTTTGCTGAAAGCACAATAGTGGCCACTTGGGCATGTTCTTTAAAGTGCTGTTACATTGTGACTATCAATCTGATGGTCATGAAATATAGTAGGCTGGTAGGAAATTGAATTATGTACAAATGTGTTGAATATCAGTTCTTAAAATGACAAAGATATGAGGAAAATGGCATAAGGTTTTTTTACCACCCTGTAAATGGCCTTCTTTGGGCCTTCTGACTGTCTCATATGCCTCACAAGTCTCCACATCAGGTCAGATTTGATTATACTGTGGTAGGAACTGGACTTTGTCATCATTTCTATATTTTCATTTGATGAAATGGGATTCGGCGTTGGTGTCACTTTTGGTTTAACTCTACAACCTTTAGTTTTCATAGTTACATATATCTGTGTCTTCCACCGAAATCTTGTTTTTTTCTGTTCGGCTCCTAGTTATCATTATTATTTTCTGATCCTTTTATGACCGGGTTTTCTTTATATTAAATGTACACAATAGTGTGAGGTTTTAGTTTCTATCTTTTATTTATTTCACTTGTTTATTTCCTTCTAATCTACTGCTAAATCTAGTTATGTCTTTTTGAAGTCTAGGCCGAAAGTGACCCAAATCTCTCACATGGCATATAGTATATTCTTCAAAACCAGACATCACATGATCACTTCAAATCTGTTATGTAAAAAGTTTAACAATAGGAAGACTGCTTCAAATCCTAATTAGAATCCAAGATATAGAAATGTAAATTAAATGTAAATTAAAGAAACATTTGTAAGTCTGAAGATGCTCTGAACAATTGTAATGATTGCATATTTAATGTGAGAAACTGACCAGAGAAATCCCAGGTGTACTACATGACCTGTTGTTTATCTAAATGCTTTTTGTACCATGTTTCCATTAATTAATTTACAAAGTAAAAACAAAGTAAAAGTAAGATATTAATTATAAAATACAACATGAAAATCACTCCGTCACACTTTATACAAGACCATGGCCATAGGATGTGTTGATCCCTTCCCATCAATGGTGGCTTCGTTTTGATCAAAGATATCGATTGCAGCATCCACTTATAAAACCAATATTTCCATCATCGGCAGGTTTCTCAATACCACTGAGTTTTTTTGTATTTTTACACAAATGGTGGCCATTTTAAATTGAGCAGTCATAATGATAATTCCTTCTCCAGCAGAGGTCCTACAGACCTACACCCATAAGGCATAAGCCTATAAAATTTGAATCAAATATGTCAATCAGTATTTAAGTAATCACCCAAACATACTTACGGATGGACGGGTGGCTTTTCTATATCCATCCCTTCGTTTGGTGGGATAACAAGTATAAAATAAACTAGCTACAGATAACCTTTTGTTGAATGCATTCAGCAAGACCATCCTATCTGGATGGCCATAAGTTCTGCATAGTGATTCTCATAAAACGGTTACTGTATAGCAAACAGATACTGAAAATCTATAGCCTGTATATATTACATAATATTATATCCTCATATTAATTATGTTTACAAATTGTGGAAATAAACTTTTGCTATCACATCCTTTTATTCATTTTTTGTATTTGGTGACGTTTAACCAGTGTATTGCATTAAAGCGTGTCTTGCAACGTCTAATTTCACATTTTTTTTACATTATTACATAAGAATTACATAATTATGATTAATATTGATTTTAAATTTCTTAAAATTTTGTCATCAATTTTTTCTGAAAGCATTACCACCATTATATGTTGTTATACTTTGATAAAAACCTAACCAAAGCTGTTTTAAACCTTGAAAATATAAAAACATAGAAAACAATAAATTATGTAACATTACGCTAATTATCTGGAATCTGACCCATATTTGAAAATGTCAAAATTGGTTTCTGAAAACTTCACATCATACCGAACAAAATGGTACCACATACGTCTTGTTATACCGGGTGCGGGGGTATGTCATAGAAAGAGGCCTCACTGGAATGTCCCTAGCCTGTACTACTAGATTACTTGCACTCTTCAAACTGTCCTCGAATATTCATGTTTTAAAATATTTTTCAAAAATGTGTTTTTATTTATATTTGTCCATGGTAGAAACATTTCTGGTGCGCGATAACTGAAAGGAGGAAAACAAAATCTTCATGTTTTATTTGCATATACGAAAGAAAACAATTATGTGCTTTACACAATATGAATTTGGATTTCTCCACCTTTTCAGTTTTAACCGGACAAAAGTATTCAATAATTGAGAGTTTATAGAAAATATATTTGTGTTTCAGTGGATCTGACGGCCTGGTAAAGCTATGGACAATAAAGAACAATGAATGTGTTAAAACATTTGACGAGCATTCCGATAAAGTCTGGGCTTTGACCAGTAGTGCTACAGAAGATGTCATAGTCACAGGGGCAGCAGATTCAAATATCCTTATATGGCGTGATGTCACGCAGGAAGAAATTGATGAGACTACAGCTGCTCAGAATGATATTATTCTTAAGTATGTACCTTATATATGAAAAATCACACTTTCTATGTCTCAAACTTTTTTGTGGCTGTGTTTGGTGTTCGGCATCTGTAACAAATGACAGGTGGTGACATTTTGCATGTTAATGCCTTGTAATGTATAATTATCAGTATTTTAAGGTTAACATAAAGAAGAATTCATTAGATTCCTCATTTTTATTGGATTTTGTCATACATACTCTCATATATCTCATACTATTTAGGGAAGTTCATTGCTGGGTTTGTAAAGACGCTATTTCAGAAAGTAGAGATTCTATTGAATGGGGCAAATTTTCATGTCCACTTTTTTGAAGGAATAGAAATGGTTGTGAGGTGTGCCAATTTTGTCTGGCCAATGATACCATGCGATGCATTGGCCATCACCTTGACACACAGGCCCATCATTGTACACAGCAAATAAATTGGAGTAGTGACACAAATTGTACCACCAAGCTCCTTTATATTCAACAGCACAGTTAGTGTGTTTATTATCAAGATCACGGTCCTTTGTTGTGAATGGCATACCATTGTGGTAAGACAAGGAGTCTCCCGCATCTCCACTGTATCCACCAATCGTCAGCTGGTAGTTACTGCGTTCATCACCCACATCAAATATGGAATATTCTGCATGACGTGTTTCATTTTGCGGGGGCCATGTGGTAAGACCAACTACGAGTTTGTAGTTCTCTTGTCTCAATAAACCATGAAGGTTGTCCAGGCCGATGAAATGTTCTCCATCTCGTGACCCAAACCCTTCTTGATATTCGACCCAACCTCGGTAGAAATCAGCACTCCCGTCAAAGCGTCTGGCCATGTAGACACACCCCTCACTGCAGTATACGCTGAATGAATCTTGACCTTTTGGTTGGATTGTTCGTACACCAGTAAAACTTGCATTGTCACTACAGTCCCGTGGAAAGACTTGAACTGGAAAAGAATAGTAAACTAGCTTGAATCTCTGGATGCATTATATCTGAATTATATTTTTTGCCAGTATTTTTGGTTGATAAAGGCTGGCTGCCTTTTTGTTGTTTACAACACTTTACCTGCTCGACTATGAAGGTCACTTTATCTTATCTTCACCTTACCATCCGAGTCCTTCATTTGAAAAAATTCCCATCAATTCTATACTCTACTTTAATGGCATTAATGACACAGTTTATGCATTATCTTTTT